AATAACGGAATATGCTATACTGCCACTTAATTCTGACAAGTATAAGATATCCTTTTATGAACTCTTGTTCCTGCTGAAAGAAGAAATTGAATATGTTGAATAAAGTTGCTGATTTTTCTTGTCCAATAATCTGCTTCTAGAACATTATCTACACTATACCATGGAAAACATAACATGCAGGCAAATTACGATCAATTGACAAAATAAGATGAATGTTTATTGAGGCTATGTGTTAAACACTTAAAGCAGTATGTACAGAACATGAATAGGCAGATCTATAACCAATGTTGACTTGTTCATATCAAGTGTCCAGATTTAATAATGTAGATAACCAATTTGTATTTGTGCAAGACTCAAGTATTTTTTCTAAAACATTCAATTTTTGACAGGTCAAATAAGCAATATTTTTAGACATTTTTTTCCTCCGGATAAATCTCCTATTTTTTCAATGATTTGTACGAAGAGTAGAAGGTCATGTATTAATCATAACCTCTATGACACATACTTTCTGTGAGATGTGATTTTGGTTGTTTACCAAACAGCTGGTTAAAGAAAGATATATTTCTATTGTATTAAATATGAGTTTACCTAAAATATCTGGTGTAGGGAAACTACAGTGTTTTGTCACTTTTTATAAGCTGTTAAACTAATAAAGCCATCTGGCTGTATTGACAGGTGGGTTAGCTTGTATCAAGTTTGATTGAGATAATACAATTAGTTTTTAATTAGACAATCTATTTTACATGGAACACCTTCAAGTTCGTTATGATCTTCCATTTGTAACAAGTCTGTTGTGCAAGCAGCACTCTTCAGAAAAGCCTTCCCTGGAAAACTTTCAAGAGGTTTCCACCCTTTGTTTAGAAAGGTTTGCTATTGGATTCTAAAGCTTATCAACTGGAAACATTTCTAGCAAACATTAAGATGGGTCTTACTTATCACCTTAGGATAACTTTCTTCCACTTGTTTAGAAATGTTTTAAGTAATTACTTCAAAAAGTTTCTATACCTCTGAATTGGAAAGGTTTCTCCTTTCATACTTGAAGATTTTCTACTTAGCTATTTCCCACTCATTTAGAAAGACTTTCTGCTTTCTCTCTCCTCTTATAAAAAATATTCCTCTCCATTAGAAAGTTTCTTCCTCACATTTGGAAAAAGTTTCTCAATCTCCTATTTCAAAATTACTCCCCACAAATGGACACACTTCGCCACTGACTTGTTAGGTTTCTCTTCATTTATTTGGAAATGTGTGCTTTGGATTACTCTTGCGATGATAATTTTTAACTGTTTACCCTGATTTATGAGTTATAGCAAAATTTAATGACCGAAGCTTTTATGTGAGATTATAATAGCATTAACTTTGTCACTTTTATGTCCGAAATTATGTGATTATCATCAGTATTTATTAAAAAGTATTTAAAATAACATTAGTATCTTTACAAAGATCTTGGTGTTTGGTTATGACAATCATATCTCTTTGATCTTTTCAAAACTTAATTTATCGATAATTAAAACTCTATCATAATCAGGTAGAGTAATTAAAACCATTGTAATTAAATCATCACTTCATAAATCCCTGCCTCTAGCCTAATAATTATTCAAAATTATTGTATGATGTTGATCGTCACATTAGTAATGAGCTCCTGTAACGACTATTCATAAGATAAATGTTTTATTATATCATCACTAAAGTATTTCACAATTTTCAAATTTGAAAAACCACAATAACTATTTGTTTAGCATATAAAATATCATTTTATTGTGAAAATTTATGGAAGATGACTGATCTAATATTGCTTGTGCCATGTTTCAATTTCTGTTGAAAGGGGACATCTTCAAAAGGGTGTTATTGATTTATAAGCATGGTAATAGCTTCGTCAATAAGCAGGCAGAAAAAAAGGGTGTATAATTACTGTTATACTTTACAAGCGATCACTTAATGTTGCTAAATCTAATGAGATATTGTATAATGATTTAATGAGCAAATCGCCAACTTAAACATTAATGGACAAATGGCACAGAAAATATTAGCATTTTATCAATGAACAAATGACTCTCGGGTAAACAAAACCAAACTGTTAGTTTCTCATGCAATCTTCTAATTCATCAAGATTTCAACAGAGCTTCAAAGAAAACTTAGAAACAAAGTCATAGATTAAAAAAAAAAAACAGACAAAAGCAACATTTAAGAACTTTTATATTAAGAATATCAATGTAGCATGTTACACATAATCATCAACTTTATTCTTAAACTTTAAAACACTTCAATTATAAAGAATCATTTTCAAAACTTTTCCATTTGCCTAATTATGGTTTTCACATGAGAACAAGTTTGAAAGAATCATCACTAAAAAAAAAAGAGATACAGTTTCCTTGTTGAGCTTAGTCCAAAATTGCGATCAGTGGCTAAAATGAACAAAATTTTCTACTTTAGTTGATTTCTTATTGAGATGATTCCGGAAAACATCCTAACATCTGACAGTAGTAAACTGACTTTTTTCCGAGGCTATTCAACAAATTCTTCTCAATGACAGAAATTACTTGATATCAATATTGAATTTTTACACATCATTAACTTCAATTTATGAATATTGATTTTCATTTTATTCTTCAAACAACCTAATAAATCTTCTTCCATTTTCACGCTTATGTTTTTTGCATTTCATCCATTTTCTAGCAAATTGGTAAATTCAAAATATTATTTCTAATTAGGAAGATTAGACTTTTGTTTGTCATGGGTCTTTTTCATCAAAGGATGAAATTTGATAGATGAAATGTTTTAAAATGTTATGTCACACAATACCTTTAACCTAAGACATGTCTGTGACCTCATTCATGCTATTAAGCACATTTCTTAAAGGAGTTCAGATTTTTGGACCATAGCTACTTCATCATCTCTATCTTGCATATGTCTGTTTGAAATGTGCCTTTCACCATGGATTTATGGAGTCCATGCTTTCACTTAAAAGTTAGGACTTAAATTCAATTCAAAATTTTTGTTAAAAAAAAATACTAACGTTGAAATTCTGAATTCCCAAATCCCATGTTGTTGGTTTTGCTTAAATTATAATACACCACAAATCAACCTATTTCATAAATTTAATATCGTTCTTGCAATATATGGATGGATTGGGGTTGAATATCCTTTAAATACAATAGCTGTATGCACTGGGAACTTATCAGGTCACGATTCATTACAAGGTGGGCTTCAAAATTAAAATGATCAAAAGCGTGCCTTGTTATCTATACAAGTCATGAGTTGGTTCCAACCTGCCAACACCTGCAGTTTCCTCCCACTTCTAAAGACATATGTTAGTCTTGAAATGATCCAATAGTGTTAATTAGATAACATCCCAACATCAGTGTCACACACTAGGTAACTCCGAGATTTACAGTACATCACACAGTAATTCTCAGAGCATTTTGACTGTGCAGAGGTGCATATATCTACATCTCTGTTAATACCAAGGTCTTGCCACAGGTACCAAAAGGGTCAATACCAAGGTATTTTATGTCTTGTAACAGGTACCAATATGGTCATCACTATCTAACGGTACATGTTTGAATTAAATTTACTATTATTTAGTCAAGTATAAACATATGACAACTACTTTATATGGTCTGAAGCTCTGGCTAATTTTTTTCCACTTAAGACGAGCTGAAAACTGGCTGTTTAAACAAGTAATAGAATCAATGCATTATTTCCTTGCTAATAACAGTCAAAACAGCATTAGGCAGATAGAGCAAATATTTAGAAAAACTGTTGGAGAAGCCATGAAGAGGAACACTAAGTGTTTGTTTCCGCATTCAACACGTTGTGTGCTTCTTAGACACTTTCACCCACCAAATTTATGAGTCATTGGTAAAACTCATTAATTATGTGAAATTTGTTAGAAGATATTTTATGGGTGGTCAATGCCTCATCTAAATCGGATTAGAAACTCCGATCATGTTGTGGAGTGAGGAAAAGCCCTGTCAGTGCTCCTGTGTTTTGGTCATATGGTTTTTGTCAAACGATAAAATTAGCTGACGAGATATTGCGTATTTTACCACAGCTTACACGGCGCTAGTTCTATAGCTTATTACATCAAAAGTGCGGTGCTGTAAAAGAACGCAAACAGTTCAATAGAAGACATGCAAACTTGTTTAAAGATACCATTATTTACAAAATGTCTTCAATCAGCGGAAACATGGGGTATCTAATCGTAGATTAATGAGTTACAACAGCAAATAGAGGACAGAATGGGCTGCATTGTGTGAATGACTACATTAAGACATATTTTATAAGCAAAGTGATTCTCTACACCAGCATTACCAGTAAAAATGTATAATACAGTATATCTAACACAGTATTTTATTATGTGTTATAACTTGTCGATTCTGGTTTACCTAACTTCAAATGATCAGTTATGCCAAAATGTTTTCAATATAAATGTTACATGAATATACTGAATATCAATGGTGGATCCAGGTAAGAGGCCCTAGGGGTTCCGCCCCCCCCCCCCCCTACTTAAATAACATTACTAAAAATACACTTACTATTCTATGAAACATGTAAATTTGAGTTTTTTGTTAGGTGCAGTATACAGTGAGGTTGTCGTTGATGAAATTGAACATTATATTCGGTTCCAGATCAAGATAGTGCCATTAATGATCAGTGACACCCTGATTTTCGAAATGTCCTTGGTGACACTAACCAAAAATCCTGCATCATTCACGGCTGAATATGTACGGATGTACTAGGAAGATGATTATTTGCCTTGTGTATGCATGGATGTTCAAAACAGACAATTATTGATGATGTCATTCTGCTTTGGGTATGCACAACTATCGATAATGTCATTCTGTCTTAAGTATGCATGGATGTTTTAGAAAGATGACCATCGACATCACTTAGTCTTGGGTATGCATGATTGAACTTCCAAGATGAGTAACAATGACATCCCACCTTTCACCAACAGCTGTCCAGTGTGATTAAATATATAGAAATAAAAAGTGTCTTACCTTGATAAGAAACTGCCTGCTGGTGTTGGTATTCCTGAGGAGATAACAATAGGAGAACCACTTCTAGCAACAACAGTACTGTGATAATGATGTGAGGCTGAAGTCGGGAGTGGTGGACGGCCATGAGGACCCATATTACTCTCGTTTTTTACTTCTGCATAGATTCTCTCCTGTTGATTAGGTCGATTTGTTATTAACTGAAATAATAATTTTTAAAAATAAAAAGAACCTGAGCAAAATTAATGATGGATTTATCAGGATGCATCAGTCAGATTTCATATGTTAATCCTAGTTATACAAGAAGAGACAGTGATAGTAACAATTCAGTTTTACTGTCAGTAAAGGAAATATGATTGCATGTTCCATCAAATTTCTATCCAGAAAAATTACAGTTTGAATGACAATGACTTGTTTTTTGGGTGTTATTTTTTTAACTAAAGGCATTACTGTACATGTTCTAATAAATTCCTGCAGAATTTAAATAATTTTGCACCAAACATATTATGGGGCACAAGTGATTTATCAGTAGAGATACAATGTAACAGACTTATAAATACATAAAAAACAAGATTTCTTCACATATTATTGGTTTAGAAAACATATCAACTCTTTTAGAATATACTTATGCAATTTTTGATTAAAATCATTTGATACTGAGGTCCATCACATAATCAAGCAATCATAAGGCTTCCTATGATATTTTGCAATTACGTCACCTACTTTCATGTCTTTTCATCAAGAATGCAATTTATGAGAGTGCAGTCTTCAGAATCAAGGTGGGCAACCACCTATCTATTAATAAAACACTTTTTATATCCTGCTATTATTCTGAAACAAACATCTTAAGTTATCCCCAACTACAACCCTACACAATAAAGTTGCCAATTAATAACAAATTCTGACTGGTTGTTCATTCAAACCGATACACCTTCCCTACTCACATTGTCAACACTTCATATAAATTTGAAAAACTAATCCTTTACTTGAACAAACACTTACAAATGGTTAACAAACCTCTTACTCTAGTCAGCACACAATACAACAAATTTCCTCTTTGTATCAAAATACACAAAAAATTAAAATGCAAACATATAAATATATATGAAGTGTTGTTGAATTTTGTTTAACTGTCCATCTGCCTGTATTTGTAGGCCTATTATAAAACAGAATTCTTATATTGTAAAGCAGAATTTATAGTGGAACACCATGGCATATAATCTAAGGTATTACACGAGAAAAAAATATAGACTAATTTCTCTAAACTATAATAATAAGCTAGATGTGGAGAGGTTATGGATCTCCAACCAACTTTATCTGTTCCCTGCCAAAAACTTAATCAACAGAATACAATTAAACGCAAGCTTGTTTTAACCACCTGTGGGTATGGAGTTAACTACAGTTAAAGTCGTCTGCTATTAAACTCAGATTGCCTGCTAATTTTTTGACATTTGCCCCCTTTACAATAATTAAACAACATCCAGCATGGCCTAATAGAATTTAAAACGCTACTGGAATGGGTTTGAATTCTGATCAGAAGACGAAAACTTAATTATCAATGTTTGGACACTGGTTGTCAGGTGACAAGGGCAACTACTCTTCTTCATCAAAATTCAGTGGAACTGAGTTAAAAAAAATCCAAAACACCAGATACACATTTAGGGATGAGTAATACCTCACGTTAATAAGAACGGACAACTAATTTTTCTGGTCCCTGGTTTGTACATGCATTAATGTCTGTCCAATCTACTGATGTTATCTCTCGAACTACCACCAGAGAAAAAACAGCAACATTTGACAAGTGAGATCAACATGAAAGAATACGGTGACATTCCTGAGTTGCCAAGACAGAACTAAGCTTTCATCAGTAATTGTAAAAGTGAATTTCGTTGACTTAATGAACGAGAGAAATTCCTCATCTATCCTGAATTATTGAAACCTTTTTTAGCACAAACTTCCCAATGATTAAAGTACACTATCCCCTAATGGGGGATCATCATCAATAAACACCATTTACTAAAACCATTGTTGTGTTTCTTTACTACTGTATCATATAACTGGTTTATTGTGTATGTTTGTTCATTATGATCATGATTAATGATCTTTTATTATAATTGTTATATATTATTAATCGTGATGTTATCATTATGTATAATAAATTGTTGATACATTTTATAACATATTCATGTATCAAAGATTTGTTGCATTATAACTGTTTGTAGACTTACATACTGGATGTGTTAGGATTCATTTGTGTATTGAATAATTGGTTTTGTATGATTGTGTAATAAATAAAATCCTAAGTGTAAAATATATTTGCTTGTGTATCATATATTACATGTATTGAATAATTTGTGTATTATGTTTTCTTGTGGATTGTATATTAATTGATAGGTGTATTATGTACTGATTGTGTATAAGTTGTTATTGTATATTGTATGTGTATTGCATTATTGGTGTATAATAAACTGATTGGGTACAAGTTGTTTATTATATATCATGGGTATTATAGACTACTTGTGTATTACATAGTATGTGTATTGAATAATTGGTGGATTATGCATTCTTGTGTATTAAAATTGTATGAGTATTAACTATATGAATAAAGAGGTGTTTCATGTGTAAATATTATATGATATTGAACAATACATTATTTGCTATATTATAACCGAAATATTAAAAAACCCAAACAATATTACCTCTGAAAGGGGGTCGAATACTTGGTCACAATCTATACCAACTGATCATGTAAATTGACTTGTTCAAAAAATTGAACAATGTTAACCTTTTTTTATCTGTACATCAAAATCACTTCCCCTAAAGTTAAAAGCACACCTTCATTGGTTGTGATAAGTGATTAAATTAGAGAAAAGGAATGTATACTAGGATACACAATCCATATCAGTTTGATTTCAATCATGCTTGTCCACAATTTACATTTAAATCAGTAAGAAATTGTCTCATCAAAAAAGTGTTTTTGGGAGTGTTTTGATAAAGGCTAACTGATAAATATGTAGAATCTGCCAAGGCAGTGGAATCTAAATCTATTCTTTACAATCTTGGTGTTATTGGTAATCATTAACCAAATGGTACAAAATGAGTTCAGTTAAAAATTGGTACACTATCAAAGTATAGAGACTTAAAATGAACTTTGGGATATTTTCTGGATACAAAATTGGGTAGACAGAGATGATTTCAATATATCTCCCTAACAGGATAATAAACCATATGGAGAAAGTGTAATATACATGTGTACTATTGTAAATAGAAAAATGACAAAGGTTACCAACAGTTGAACTTTTTGCATTGTTCTAAATCATAACTCTGTGATTGGATTTTGAAAATGCTCTGTTGCTTCATAGATTTCAAAAAGACGAATCCTTACAGAAAGAATGAATTGTGTTGTAAATAATTCAAATTGTGAATGTCAACCTATGGTTAGAACTGTGTTGTGCACTGACCAATAAGCTCTTAATTAATTCTAATTAAGCTAATTGCTTCTAGTTATTACCAATGCAGTTCAAATTCTCACTGCACCTGCGAGATTTTATATTCATACGTGTAATAAATATATTGTAAAACTTTATGATATTTATATTCAATGACCTTTCAATTGTGTATAGGACGTTTTATATCATAACTAGTTGTAATGATATTATCAATTCATGAATATTTATAAGCAAGAACTTGTCTTTGCCTCTTTACTGCCAATATTGAAGTTAAAAGGTACAAGCCAGATCGTTAACATATATATATCAAATGTGAAAATAATTTAAAGGTAGAGCCTGTGTCATTTTGTAATCACACACATAAGCATAAAAAGACCATCATGATGAATGGCTGGCATTAGTGGCCTATATGAAAAAATAGCACAATTATTATTACTTTATTTGTCTAAGATATATGAACACGGTTGTGTGAAATCAATAGTAAACAAAGGATATAACTATGGTTAGAATTTATTAATTTCAACAATTTTTGCAACAAAATATTTTTCAATAAAAGTATTTTTGATCACGTAAAGACTATGTATTTAAATTTTATTCTGGCATGTTAATATCTATATACAAATAACAATAAATTCATATCTTTAGAAGATTTCTTAGAAGGACATTACTTAAACAAATTCTGAAATCTGACAGAATAAAAACCTGTTAAAAATAATGAAAACCGTAAGCCTTTGCCAAGCTATTATCAAGATTGAAAGCAGAAATTTCGGATTTAGAAAATAAATGACTTTACAGTTATTCTCAAAAAGTCTGAGTCATAAGGTCATGTAACCTTGAAATTCAAAAGAAAAGAGCAGCTAAACATTAAAAATTGGTTTTAATTTAAACAAATATACACAGCCCAGTTAAGTGATCTTCTAGATCTGCTAGCAATGAATGTGGAGTTTAAGATCATGTGTCAAACTTGTATGTAAACTATGTAAACTATAATATTGTTCTACTCATTCCCTTTCCCCCTAAAACACTATCCAATAATTCATTCAATCATTCATTCAATTATCAACTGCTTGACTTTCACTAAATTTGAGATTTTTCTTTTAATGCTTCCTAACTGCATCATTAAAAATTATGTAAATGATTTCAAACTACCTATAGAGCTTTATCTTTATTTGTCGAGCTTTACCTATATTTGTAGAACTTTACCTATATTTATAGAATTTTACCATTATTCAAAGAACTTTACCTATATATATATATAGAACTTTACCTATATTTGTGGAACTTTACCAATATTTGTAAACTACTGGGTGGTTAAGCATATCCCAATATATCTATCTTGGATGTACATAAAATAAGCAAAGAATATTATTTATTTCCATACCAACTTTAGACCAGTAACATTTCAGTGCATATAGTTGTATATACTACCGTATTAGAGTTTAGATCTCACACTGACAATAACTTATTTTACACATTCATACTGTATTTAAGTACCCATTCTACATACATACACCTGGTTGTCCCACTCATAAAATAACATTTTATCTGCTCTTTTACAGAATAAAACTAGCAATTAAAGTTCTTGTTTTAATGAAATTGACTGGTTTGACCTCTATGAACCACAGTTCATATGTTTTAAAGGTATTTTTGAGCGAGTTTTATTGACAGTTAAGTGCACTGAGAATTAATTGTAAATCTGATATATGATAGTTTAATGTTGGTTGGTGTCATACAGATACCATTGTCATAGT